ACTTTTTAGCCTCGGAAAAGCAATTCCCTTGCTAAAGCCCCGGTGATGCTGGGAGTGTCGACCAATTTAGTCTACGGACTATTGGGCATTTGCATTGCGTAAGCGGAAAGCATTCTCCCTACTCGACCACTTTAGTCTACGGCCCACGAATGACATTGACAACTTGCGATCGGACAGCGCGACATCTACTTGTGTAACGAGATGAGTCTGCCTCCCATGCCGTGCTACTTGTGCGTACCTTGAATGTCTCAAATTTCAAGCCTTTCAGACAGTGGATCAAGAAGCGTTTCCTTGACTAACACACCGGCAATGTTGAAGGCGTCGACCATTTGAGTCAACAAAGACCAACAAAAGGTCTCGAAAAACTACTTGTTGCCTGCAGGGCAGAGGTCGCTGGCACGGGCTTACCCTAGTATATGTACACACACACATATACATATATATATATATATACACATTATATTGTAAATAAGCAGAAATCTCTCTCTATATATACAAATACACACACGCACACAAACGTGTTAGATGTATCAAGCTAGCTCGCCGGTTTGGGGGTAAACCGAGCCTGATTTCTTGAATTAGTTGGTTGCCGCTGCTTAGTAGCCTAGTCGGTAGCTGGCACTTTGCTTGCCTCGGGCTCTGCGCCCTTGCAAACTCGGCGCCATGCATTTGAACGTTTACTTGGCAAGCGGGAAGAGCTGCTCCGTTGCACTGCCTCACGAGGCGAGCATTCGTGAGATGAAGGCTGAGGCGCAACAGCAGCTCGAGCACCGCTTTCTGAGGCTCCTGTTCGGAAGTGAGGAGCTGGACCCATCGCTCACTTTGGCTGACACTGGCCTGCGCGATGGGGACAGTATCACTGCAGTCGCGCAGCACGTGAAGCTAGCTTCCACTTGGCATGCATTGCACTTCATGTTGAAGGAGGCCGTGCGGTGACTTGGGGTGTAGGTTGTGACAACGGCAGGGTGCGAGATCAGTTGCTGCGTGTCCAGAAGGTCCGAGCAACTATGACTGCCTTCGCTGCCAGCCTGGACGACGGCTCTGTAGTGACTTGGGGCAGTCCGGGCGGTGGCGGTGACAGCAGCCAGGTGCGAGAGCAGTTGGTGCAGGTCCAGCACATTCAAGCAACTCACAGTGCTTTTGCTGCCATTTTGGCTGACGGCTCTGTGGTGACTTGTGACAGCCGACGGGTTCGAGAGCAGTTGATGCAGGTCCGGCGGATTCAAGCAACTCAGACAGCTTTTGCTGCCATCCTGGCCGACGGCTCTGTGGTGACGTGGGGAAGTCGTGGTGATGGCGGTGGTAGCAGCCAGGTGCAAGAGCAGTTGGTGCAGGTCCAGCAGATTCAAGCAACTCAGAGTGCCTTTGCTGCCATCCTGGCCGACGGCTCTGTGGTGACTTGGGGAAGTCGTGGTGATGGCGGTGGTAGCAGCCAGGTGCGAGAGCAGTTGGTGCAGGTCCAGCAGATTCAAGCAACTGGGCTTGCTTTTGCTGCAATTTTGGCTGACGGCTCTGTGGTGACTTGGGGTGCTCCGGGTGCTGGTGGTGACGGTAGACAGGCGCGAGAGCAGTTGGTGCAGGTCCAGCACATTCAAGCAACTCAGAGTGCTTTTGCTGCCATTTTGGCTGACGGCTCTGTGGTGACTTGGGGCAGTCCGGGCGCTGGCGGTGACAGCGGACAGGTTCGAGAGCAGTTGGTGCAGGTCCAGCAGATTCAAGCAACTGGGCTTGCTTTTGCTGCCATTTTGGCTGACGGCTCTGTGGTGACTTGGGGCAATTTGGGCGCTGGCGGTGACAGTAGCCAGGTGCGAGAGCAGTTGGTGCAGGTCCAGCAGATTCAAGCAACCGGGCTTGCTTTTGCTGCCATTTTGGCCAACGGCTCTGTGGTGACTTGGGGCAATCCGGGCGCTGGCGGTGACAGTAGCCAGGTGCAAGAGCAGTTGGTGCAGGTCCAGCAGATTCAAGCAACTCACAGTGCTTTTGCTGCCATCCTGGCCGATGGCTTTGTGGTGACTTGGGGCCATGCTGACTACGGCGGTGATAGCAGTGGGATTCAGGCTCAGTTCGACTGCTTGTGAGGCAAAACTGCTTTTTTCCTAGCCAATGTAAGAGGTCAATGCGTCAAGTGAGTGGATGCTTAGCGCCGCATAGATAGGTCTCTGTTCAGCGGATGCCACCCCCGTCCCGCTTTGCAAGCGGGGGGTTGCTTGGCTGGGCCAGAGGTTCGTAGGCAGATGCATGATACTCAAGGGACCCCTCTTCAAATACCACCCTGACAAAGAATGACAAAGAGGGAGGCGGTTTTTCGTAACTTGAAAATGTTGGTATTTGGAGCTTTTGTTTTTTGTTTTGTTTTTGTTTTTGGAAACTGGACAAAGCTGGAACTGGTATTGGAAGCTTTCGAGGGAGGCAGTGTCAAAGCCAGACCAAAACTTCCAGCCCAATGTGGACCACTGAGGGTCTCGCTTCCATGTGTTCTGTCGTCCTCTCTCCCTCCCTTTGCTCCCCATCCTCCCCATCCCCCCAAGCTTCTCTCTCCTCAATCTCCCTCTCTCTGTCTCTCTCTCTCTCTCTCTCTTTCTCTCTCTCTCTCTCTCTCTCTCTCTCTCTCTGTCTCTCTCTCTCTCTCTTTCTCTCTCTCTCTCTCTCTCTCTCTTCTCTCTCTCTCTCTCTCTTTCTCTCTCTCTCTCTCTCTCTCTCTCTCTTCTCTCTCTGTTTCTGTTTCTCTTTCTGTCTCCCTGTCTCCTTCCCGTCCACGCCCCTCTACAGAAAAAAGGGTACCCTTATTCTAACCTCTCTCTCTGGAGGACCTAGACTCTCTCTCTCTCTCTCTCTCTTTCTCGCTCTTTCTCTCTGTCTCTCTTTCTCTCTCTCTCTCTCTCTTTCTGTGTCTCTGTGTCTCTCTCTCTCTCTCTCTCCCTGTCTCTCTCTCTCTCTCTTTCTCTCTCTCTCTCTCTCCCTCTCTCTCTCTCTGTGTCTCTCTCTCTCTCTCTCTCTCTCCCGCTCTCTCGCTGTGTCTCTCTCTCTGTGCATTGCAGCGTCACGTCCCCCCTGAGTTGCCTCGATGTCCGGGCACTGCCCCTTCATGACCCTGAATTGTTTGCCTACTACTGGCTTTCCCCTTGGTTTCCCCATCATGTCGTTTTCACGTTTCCCATGTCCTGGTCATGTCCCTTCCATTCCTTTCAACTCCCCCTTCATGTCCCTGCCATTTTCTCGGTATGTCCGCTTCATTTTCCATGTATGCCCCGTTCCTTCGCTGCGAGTCATTTCCCTACATCTCTCGTCGTGCCGATTGGTTTCCTTGTCCTTTGTTTCCCCTTCATTCCCCCTGCACGCCCCTTGTTTTCATTCCTGTCCCTTTCATGTCCCTTTCAGTTCCCCTTTGTTTCCCTTTCATGTCCCCTTGCTTTCCTGTCAGGTCGGCTTCCTATTCCTTGCACTTCCTTGCATTTCCCCTTTGCTCTTCCTTGCAAAAAACACGGTTTTCCCAGCGTTTCCGCAAAGAGGACGTCAAACAACACAGAGTTTTTCCAGATCTTCGGCAAAAGGAGGCAGGAAACCAAACCAGCAAAGAGCCGGCAGGGGGATTCGAGCCTGTTTTGCGACACCTCCCCGAAGACTACGTTTAGTGGATTGTCATCAAATTACCGCGCGGTGCGTGGGGGACCCCCCCCACCCCCCTCGGGCGGGGTTTATCCTCTATCGTCTCTTAGGTATCCAGCACACCTCCGCAATGTCGGCGGACATTTTCAGGGCACTTCGGGCCAGGCAGTGGCAAATTTAAGTTTTGACTTGAAGGGTGCCGCTGCGCAGGGCCAATTCCCAAGTTCAAGTCTAGTATCCAGATG